TGCTACATGCTGCCGGGCGGTGCGTGCTGCACGCTGCCAGGCTGTCGGGAGGTGCGCGCTGTTGGGCGGCCCGCTGTGCGTGCTGCTGCTTATGACTGTGCCGCAGTGCGCTGCCGGGCGGTGTGTCCATAACATAGTCAGCTATGGTTTCTATTCTTTTCACCATTGGCATGAATTGGCATGGAAAATGAATTCCCTTTGATCATTTGATGCCAGTCCAATAGTCCAGAGGCTAAAATAAAAAAAATAAAAAAAATAAAAAGAAAAAAATATTCCTACTTGATCCCTGGGATTACTACAGGTGTGAAGTTTCTTAAGGGTATGTTTGTTTTGAAGTAAAAGGGAAGGGAAAGGTAGGGAAACCCATACAAGGTTTGTAAAGGTTTTCTTACTTTTTTCTTTAAACCAAACACAGCCTAAATGTATAGAGAGAGTCCGCGTTCTGTGAACCCGTGGGTGCACGGGAAGCATGAACCGTCCAATAGGAGGTGTGCACGTCACCAATTTCATACTCATGTTAACGTTAACGGGATTCAAACGTTAGCTACTTGAATCCGGTTGAACCAGACACAAAAGGACAAATAGAAATGAAAACCCATTATTTGGGATTTGGGATTTCATTTGAACTCTTTCCCATTTTCCTTCTCCTCCGAGCCCTAACCCAAAAGAAGCATCCCGCTCTCCCACCGGCATTCATAAACGTGGAATCAACCGACAGCAAGCCTTCTCGTCTTCTGCTTCCTATTCTTCTTCGAATCTTCTTCTTCTTCCTCTATTTCGAATCCTCACTTGTTCTTCTCTTGTAAACAGATCGAAGGTCCATTGTTCCAAAGCCGACGGTCATCAATCCTCGGAACGAAGGTCCCCCATTGGGGCAGCATGATATGGGATGATAATTTTGCTCTGAAATTTCTTGTTTTTCCTGTTCAGAGGCCTAATGCCCTTACCGTATCTCTAGCGTGGAGGTGGTCTCTCCCTCTATTGCTTTTCTTTCTCTCTTTAATGAAGTTGTTCTCACAAAACAACTAACTAAATAAATAAACAAACAAAAGCATTCCCATTCAATTTTCATCATCTATATCATATTTATCTGAAAACATATGTGGGTCTCTCATTGGTGTTTTGTTGTTAATGGAATTTGTATAGGGTTTTTGGGATGATGCCATGATGGTTGATTAAATTTTCCTACCTATTTCTATTTCATCCGGATAATGGAATTTGGTTCTAAAAAAAATAAAAGAGAGTTGGCTGTTAACCCATTGGGTTGCATGACCGATACACATTAAGAACACCATGAGGCAAATAAAAATGTGGACATGAAGATATACATATAAATTGGAAAAGAATAAAATGGAAAACTTTATTCCTCTCATTTCTAAATCTCTTTAACCATTTTCCTTGGTTTGTATCATTTAGGCCATCATCTATGGTAAACAAAGTCATTCTTTCTCATCATTAGGCCCATCCTGATGCAGGATTAGTGCTTGGTAGGGCCTACAATGCTGGGTCTAATATAAAATTTGAGTGAAGTTTGAAGATAAAATGATTCAATTTTGGTTTAGGTCTAGCATTTAGATTAAGAGTGAAAATAGATTTGGGTTTGGATTAATGATTATTTATGTCTATAATCTCTACTATTCTCACTCTTATATCCATGTTTTCTTCTCAGTACCTTCATAGATGTTCTGACAAAAGAAAGGGATTTGGTGGTTCACATCCATCGCCCTCAATTTGAAAGTATTTCATTTAAAGTTATTCATTGTGTCTGTTTTGCCATTTTGGCAAAATGAAACAAGAGGGACGCTTCATTGGGATTGCATGACACTCTGAAACACAGAGGCCCTGTTTGTTTTTCGGTAAGTTACTTACCTGGGTAAATGTATTTACCCGGATAAGTGTTTTCCAGGAAAGATATACCCGAGTAAGTGCATTTACCCATGTTTTTTTATTTCCCATGTAAATAAGGTATTGACCATTTTATCCATAAAAATCTATTATTAAAAGGGTTATTTTTGTCCAATTCAAGTTTTGGCAATTTCTCTCAGGTGGGAAAGTTATTTATCCACATAGGAGATGGGTAAGTAATACCCAGAAAAACAAACTTTTCCTGGTCCCCACATAAATCTGAAAAAAGAACATGGGATTCTTGGTCAGTGAGAATCAAAATCCCATTGACCAACTTTCCCCCCTCTCAAAATCCAGAAAAAGAACGCCCCTAGAATTGCAAATTCAGTAGGTTGTGATACTTGAAAATGCAATGATTGTGATCAGGCAGATGTAGGATCAAAACAAACCAATGACTTGCTAGTTACAAACTGACTATTGAATTATCTTGTAGTGTATCATGATTTTTCTCATTGAATAATCTGGGTCTTATCTAATTGCTAATTTGCTCTCTAATTTTGTTTAGATTTTATGAATTTGCTCTTAATATGGATCTGGAAACTGTCCAGACTCCAGAGGACCCGGGGAAAGAGGAAGATGGCTTTGCATTTCATTATATTTTTGGCTTCGTTCAGCCATACTACGTAGAAGATGATAGGCTTCGTGCAGTGTGTTTATTGTAATCATATAGTCTTCTCTTTTGATGAGAGTTTGTAATTTTAATTTTCTTTACAAGGCAATCTTGCCCAACCTGGTTTTTTGTTGTATCTCAATAATAATACATTTAGCTATGCATTATTATGGTGTATAAGACTTCATTGGGATCATTGGGCATGAATATCACATTTGTTAGAGATTGGTGGATCAGAATATAAAGGAATCAGATCAAAAAATGTAATCAGGACCTGGAAACCAGTCATGGCTTAGGGGGGAAGTTCTTTTATCTACAAATCCACTTACACTCCCCATAATGTGCAAAAGGTGTGGATTCCGAAGAAATGCATGACCTACGCCCTTCTAATGTTGAAGTATCTCTTTTGGGGGCTGAAAGTTTTTAAAGAACATGTGAAGTGAAACAATGATTCCAATACTTTTAGACGATTATCCATGTCAGCCATCAATTTGGCAAGCTCATCAATTCGGGTTTCTAGATCTTTTTGGTTGTGCATGGATGAAGTGTCATCATTCTTGATGCGGCACGATCCGGGCACTCCTACCTAGCTACTGACTGGTTCCTTGTTGACAACGGACGACACTTGAGAAGATGGAAAAGAAGGATTCCTGGGGATTTACCCGGTGGGAATACTTCGAAGCTTAAATCAGAACGTTGGGGAAGGAGAAAGAAGAGTGCGAAAGCTAAGAGTGTAGGTCGCGCTTTATCACTATGCTCGAGAGATTAGCTCGCGAGCAAGTAAAGACTCAGGTTGAGAATATGAGAGTGCAGAAGTATTCAAAAGTCTGAGAGTAATCCCTTCTCCTTTGCCTTAGGGGCTTTTATAGGGGAGTTACTATCAAATCGGGTGTAATCGCCACTGGGCCTCTGCCGTAGCCATTACCTGCCAGGGCTGCGCAGGTGATCGTTGCAATGTACCTCTTGGTCGGATGAGTGACACGTCTTAAAGGGGTAGGCACGCTTTCGCCTGCTGAGAGACGTGGGTGCAGACTGTCGAAAGGACAGGGAGTGCGTCGTCAGTCAAGAGACGTAGCGCAGACTGATCGGTACGGTTTGTCAGGTAGAAGCTTCCTGAGAAACGTCCGCACCGCTCATTCGCGAGCTACTTTGTAGCGAACTTAGGAATACTTCGGGGTTACCCTTACTAAGGTTGTTCTTTGGGGTGACTTATCCGCTTGGGGGCTGGAGCGAGCTGGTTTCCCTAGCACGCGAGCTGAAGTAGTCTTGGAGTATCCCCTTCTAGGTAGCTCGGGGGACCCGAAGCTCGTGTTGTAGTGAGCTCCTCCTACAGTGAACTATGATATAGTGAGCTGCTTTATGGGCTCGTTACTTAGCCATGATCAGGCTATGACGCTGAGCTGTTGCCCGTGCTGAGACATGTCCACGTGTCATCACTTCATAGGTCAGGTCAAATCATCCTTCATCAATTGCCCCCCACTCCTCGAGCTAAAAGTGTTGCCTTAGCACGAGGAGTTCATGAAGTATTATGGACTGATTTGACCGAAATTCAAACTTGATTGACTGCTCACATTAAATGCGTTTGCGGGAATCGGGAGATTTTCTGACCTTTCGTATTCTGAAAACGTGCAGAGGTGGCTCTTAACTCCGGATGTCGTGCAGCCATCGTTACCTCAATCATGGGAGACGTGCAGCCAATCGCTTTTCGATTTCAGAAGGCGTGCGGTCAACACACCTGCGAACTGTTAGATCTGCCTTAATCCAGGCCATTGATTCGGATGCGCGGAGACTATAAATAGGATGGCCCTCTGGATCTCACTTTCTCTCACGCCATCTTGCTATTTTCAGATTCTGAGATCGTGCATCTGTCAAGTCTACTCGAGTTCCTCAGTTTACTTCGTCCCGTCTTTTCCGGTGAGTCTCGATTACTGTTAATCATGTCTGGATACCCGTACCATACTCACCACTAGGGCGGTGGCTAGGATGATGATGCTCCCTCGAGTCCAGGGGAGCTTGGGAACATGTCCCGGGGGCTCGGCAGACCTCCGGTGACGGAGCCTCCACTTCCCCGGGAAGGGAACCTAATACTTTCAGCCCTTCCTCTATGACAGCGGGGAGACTTAGGTCTCTAATCAACTATTTTCACCTCCCTGCGGACCTTGTCTACTACCTTCCCATCGATAACTTCCCGTGGGAGCACGACCCCAACGAGATAGTCATCTACTAGGAGCAGTTCGAGGCTGGCCTGCATCTCCCCCTGCACCCCTTGATAGTGGAGGTGCTAAACCATTTTATTTTAACATCACTATCGATCAGCTCCATCCCAACGCCATTCGAAACATGGTTGGGACTATATCCTTGTGTTGTGAATACTGTCTTCCTTTAGACCTTGACATCTTTTCTGTCATTCTCTGTATAAAGAATGCCACCCCTGGGGCTCCACCGGAGAGGCGTCTTTACTACCTCTCCCCCCGCCGTGGCTACAAGCTCTTACACGAGCTACCGAATAAAATTCCCACCTGGAAGCGGGATTATTTTTTGGTCTACAACCCCAAGGGGTGGCCCTTCCCTACTTCTTGGAGGGGCGTCATCCAGGACTCTGGGGTCGAGCTAGACTCTGAAACTCAAAAAACGATGTTGTCCTGGGCATTAGTAGGCTTCCTCTGTTCGGACTACTTGACCGAGGAGAAGCTCGTGCAGGCCGGCCTAAGCCTGGGTAGGTTGACTCTTTAGGTCGCATAGTACCTTGTCACAATATTGTGTATATACATATACTTTGTTCTTACCGAACTAATACCTTATGGTTTCTTCTTGGCAGCCATCATGTCTGGTGTTGACTCGCGTCGTTTTCTTTCGAGCAACTAGAGGCGCAAAGTGAAGAGGTCGCGCCCCGACCAGACTCCCCCCTCTGGGGGTACCGAGTTCGGGTTTGCTGAGCCAGGCTTCACCTCTCCGCCGCCCGAAGTTCTGCCACCCCCATCCGAAGGAGGAGCCGGCGGGGCCAGCCTCGAGGAGGGCGAGCTCCCGCAGCAAGGGGTAGTCCCCACGGGTCCTTCTCGGTCGTTTCCCTATCCGTGGCTCCCAGTGGGGAACTGGGAGGGCATAAACGACTTCGTTGTGGCTCGACGGAGGAGCTAGAGAGTGATCTGCAACAAAGAGGTTGCTAAGTGGGGGGCAATGGAGCCTGGGGATCTTGCCGCGCTTGCCGCCTCTCACTTTATGGTGGTAAGTGGTTCTTCTCCTCTCCATTGTCTTTCCTCCCTTTTTGTTGTCCTTTGACTCTAGTCTCTTGTTGGCAGGTAAACACTGCCATATACGCTATGTCCCTCCAAATGCATGTCCACTCCTGCGACGCTCATAACCAGAAGGTCAACATTCAAAAGCTCCAGGGCGAGCTCGACCGGACTCGGGGCAAGCTCCTTCACACTCGCAAGGAGAGCGAGTCCCAGGAGCTGCTCGTCCGAGACTAGGAGGCGCAGATTGTCTGGCTTTCTGAAGAGAGTGCGCGCTACAGGGAGGAGTCGTCAAGGGTGGCAGCGGAGAGGGAGCTCCTTCGCCAATAGGTTCGAGACTTGGAGTCCACTCTTCTGGACCGAACTCGGAACTTCGACAACATGGTGGAGGCCGAGCAAGAGAAAGCAGTCTGGGACTTCAAAGACTCCCAGGAATATCATGTCCAGGTAGAGTATGGCTCAAGTTCGTACCGCTCCGGGTTCAAGCTTTGCCGATGGTTGGTCCAGAAGAAATTCTTTGGGCTCAACCTCGACGGCATCACTATGAAGGGCCTGTCTCCCGAGACGGTGGACCAAGCGGAGGAAGAGGAGCCTGACTCTCCAGAGGATGAGGACGAGGAGGCGGATCTCCGAGGCTTTGGCGGCATTTGATCATCTGCTTTGACTTTTGGTGGCTCCCGGGTGCCATAAACCCGGTCTTGAAAAGATCTTTTGTTGGGCGGTTGTGCCCTTTTATTTTCTATCGGACTTTTTTTTTAGACAGTAATGAAATTTCCCTTTTCTTCCAAGTAAGGTGTGCTCTTTTTATTTTTGCTAAAGCGATCTCATCACTTCGAGCTGTTAGGGCTATATGCCTAAAATAAAACCTTTCGGCAATTATGCTTAAGGCATCTCTATAGTATACCGCGGAGTGGTCACAATTTATGCCCGAACTACACGTTTGTTGCCTATACTTTGGTTTAACCAATGTGCCGAGACAAGCCATGCTCCATGGGGTTTAAACCCGAGCTGACTACGCCTCTGATATTCCATACTTTGCCTTCGTTACTGAAGCGGCTAAGTCTTTCCTGATGCCGAGGTCTTTGTTAGCTTGGTATTTTAGCCCTTAGGCTGAGGGGGTGACATAGTCTGCCCCTGAAGCTTGCCCATGCCGTGGAGGCGATTGGGTCTTGTTGCGCCGAGGTCATGTTAGCTCGGCATTTTGGCCCTTAGGCTCCGGGAGTGACTCATGGTCTACTCAGTAGTTCACCCATGCCATAGAGGCGATTGGGTCTCATCGCGCCGAGGCCGTGCTAGCTCAGCATTTTGGCCCTTAGGCTCTAGGAGTGACTCATGGTCTATAGGGTAGTTCGCCCATGCCATAGAGGCGACTGGGTCTCATCGCGCCGAGGTCGTGTTAGCTCGGCATTTTGGCCCTTAGGCTCTGGGAGTGACTCATGGTCTACTCAGTAGTTATAGGTATATCGCCTTAAGTTGACAATATTCCATGCCCGAGGTACTTGTTTCCCTTCGAGGGTCTCGAGCTCATATGTTCCTTCCCCGAGAACTCGTTTCACTCGATAAGGTCCTTCCCAATTCGGTCCGAGCTTGCCAACGCCGGGCTCAGGTACCATAACTTTTCGAAGGACTAGGTCGCCAACGCAGAGGTTCCGCTTCTTGATCCTAGCATTATAGTACCGGGCTACTCTTTGTTGGTAAGTTGCAGTCCTGATATATGCGAGGCCCCTTACTTCGTCGAGTAGGTCGAGGTTGGTACGTAGCTCGTCTTCATTTGCCTTAACGTCGTAGGCTTCTAGTCGTAACGAAGGAATCTCGATTTCAACTGGGATGACTGCTTCGATGCCATAGGTGAGGTTGAAGGGAGTTTCTCCTATGGCGGTCTTCTCTGTGGTTCGGTAGGCCCATAAAATGCTGGGTAGCTCATCTGCCCACAGTCCTTTAGCT